CCTAGCTGGCCTAGAACTCACTATGTAGACCAGGCTGGCCTTGAACTCACAGAGATCCGCCTGCCTCTGCCTCCCAAGTGCTGGGATTAAAGGTGTGAGTCACCACACCAGGAGAAAGTAGATTCTTAAATACAAGCAAAAAATGAATTATAAGCAACAAACCTGAAAAGGTTTTGTTTTGTTGTACAGCTCTTCATAAAGGAGACGCCATTTGTTAGTTTCCTCAGTTAATTCTGCCAGTATATTTTCTTTCTCAGTTTTCCTACATGGAAAAAATTAAAATTTAAAAATTAATTCAAAAATTGTTTTCTCCAATTCATTAGAAGTAACTGAGTCAGTAAATGGTGCTCGGATGCTAATTACCTCGCTTTTTCCTCTTCTAGTTGCTTCTTAAAATCTTCACCTTGTTGTTGGAGTTGGTTTTGCAAATCAGTTATTTTTTTAAGAGATGAAACTGTGATTTCTTTAATTTCTGCTTCTTTCAGTGTTGATCTGTTTTGCAGATCTAGAAGCATCCTTGTTTTGAGAAAGAAAATTCCACTAACCAACCATCTAATCATCATTTCAATTTTTACCCCCTTCTTTTTGAAAACAACAAAGCACTTGAATGAACTATTTAAGTACGGTAATTGTTTTTACAGAATAAATTCTTTCTGTTGTTTTTTGTAGACTACCTACTGCATAAACTCTTAATTTACAACTTAAAGCAGCAAAAGCAACCCACAGAACAATTCCTGGCATCATGGACAAATTCACCAAAATCAACCTGTGAGAAGGCACAGGCTTGGGCCCCGCATCTGTGGCACACACCTTGCATATTCTTGATTTGTGCTCTCGGCTGTCAACATCTGATGGTGAACATCTTCTGCACTTTTTTCAGCCTTGGCTACTTTTTCCTGTAGAGTTGAGTTCTCCATCTTAAGATCTTCTCTCTCTCTAATTGCTGATGCTTTATAGCTTATTAAGAAGAAAAAAAAGTTAATATAATTTCCTTACCATTGTATAAATGACACATATAAATGACAAATTTTATAGTTTATAGATTGCTTTTTTTTGCCAAAAGAAAAAACCCTATGTTAATGTACTTACACAGGTAAGAATTTAATGTTCTAAGGTAAGTACTAATGAGTTTACATGACACTTGTTTAATCAAGGAAAAAAAATCCAGTGGCTAGCATGAAAAAGTATACATACAGATGAAAAAAACTCAACCCAGAAACACAAAAATTACATAACAAAAAAAGTACACAATCTCTGAAACTCCTGTCATTGTTTCTGTCTCTGCAGATGCAGGAAGGGAAAGTATAAAGAACTTCAGGCTGATAAAATAGGAAACCTTTACTTTGGCAGGTGGTTCACAAAGGTCTTTCTGGGGAATTTATATTTAAGTGGAGGCACGACATCCTTCTTCATAGATTCTCTAGAACAGGAGTCTGTAGACAGGGTAAAGGATCCAGAGGATAGGCCGGGTGTGGTGGCCTTTAGTCCCAGCACTTGGGAGGCAGAGGCAGGCGGATCTTTGTGAGTTCAAGGCCAGCCTCGTCTACATAGTGAGTTCCAGGACAGCTGGGGCTACAAGGAGACCCTATCTCAAAAAGACAAAAAAAAAGAATTCAGAGGATAAAGATGATATAAATTCAAAGGCAGGCAATGCACATCCATTGAGAGCTGCTACCAGGACTGGTGGGAGGTGGTGGAAAGGCAACCTTCAGGAAAAGGTGAATGATGACACTATTTTGCAATGCTCCGAAAAGAGTAAAATTAGACAATGCATTATTTACACGGACCTGTCATAAAATTATAATGCACAGAGGTAAAAGAAGGAAACGGTAACTAAATGATTAGGAAAGGCATAGAAAACAGTTCACACTTGGGTTAAGCTATCAAGAATCTGTTGACTTACTGGTTGTCTTTTACGCATTCATATGTATTGATTTTATCTTTATGCTTCACAATTTATGTCAAGAATTATATTCTTTAGTATCTATTAAATATATTAGAGACAAGAAACCTCCTGCAATGATATACACCAGAGTAATACACCCAGAGTAAGGTAAGTACGTTGCATCATCTTTTCTAATAAACCCTTCTTTCCTCTCTTTTATTTCTCGAGACAGGATCCTGTGTATCCTAGGTTGTCAGAGAACTTGCTCTGTAGTCGAGTGAACTTCTGAGCTGCTGTCTCCACTTCCCCAGGATTAAAGGTATGCACCATGGTGTGTAGTTTATGCAGTACTAGGGAACAAACCTGGGGCTGGCTAGGCACTCTACAAAATATGCTAGATCCCTAGCTTGACCTTTTGTAAAAAGGGAAAATAACAAGGAGATGGGATAGGAGTTGAGGAAGTGTGTATATTATGCAAATGATTATTTTACCAAGAGATAGACTATGGGGAAAAATGTTTTGCTAAGAAGGTGCTGGGACTGAGTAGTACTGGATGACTGAAGAAAAAGCGAGGGTCAAAGGAGCTCTTTTAATTTATGTATTTTAAAAATGATTCCAATGCCAGGCGTGGTGGCGCACGCCTTTAATATCCCAGCACTCTGGAGACAGAGGCAGGCGGATCTCTGAGTTTGAGGCCAGCCTGGTCTCCATAGCGAATCCAAAAAAAAAGATTCCATATTAACATATATCCATATTGACTGATAAAAATTACTAATTTTCTTCTTTGCATTCTGAGATAGGGTCTTGCTATATAGCCCAGGCTAGCCTAGAACTCATTATACAGTTCAGTCTGTCCTTAAACTCACTCCAATTCTCCTGTCTCAGACTCCCAAGTACAGGGATTGCAGGTGTGAGCTACCATGCCAGGCCAGAAAAGATTTCTTATAATTGAAAATTAGAAAAGGAACAAATGATACGAGGTCATTGAAGGTTAAAACACTAAAATATTAGCTTCCACACATGGGACAGCATGCCTGTAACACCAGTACCCAGGAGGCTGAGGCGCAACTGCCACCAGTTTGAGGTCAGCCTGGGCTAACAGATAGTATCAGGCTATTTAACACTATGCTGTAAGAGTCTATCTGAACCCAAACCAATCCAAAGACTTAGAAAGTATTGAATAGGCAGGAAGATAGGATGAGTATAAATTTCCGTGTCCGTAAGTTAGATGACGATACAAAGGCTTCTGATTCATTAAACAAAATGATGCTATCAGAAACATAAGATGGCATGCTAAAGGTTAGCCTGAAATTTGAACTGGATAGTAGGAAAGGGAAATTTACCTATATGAATAGAGTCAGATTACCAGAAGCCCATTTATATTGGTCATTATGGAATTCAATGCCAGTCAGCCTTGGGATTGCTTTGCTCAGGGACTTCTGGAGGTAAGCGCTTCTTCCTACTCACACTGGACTTGACAGTAGATGCACCAAAGGAAACATACCTTTCAAATTGATCAGTAACATATCCAAGGTTTTGCAATGCACCACTATACTTCTCCTGTAAAATCTGGGTGGTGAGGCTGTGAGCAGCATTACTTTTCTCCAGTTCAACTTCTTTCCTAAGAGCAAGAAAAATTATGAAACACTAGAGAAACTGCATCATGCACCTCATGTGCTTCATGTTACTATATAGTTTAAAATTCAAATTTATAACTAATCTCATGGCATGACTGTTTTATGAATTTATTTGCTGACTTCAATTCTTTTGCAATGAGACAGGGTCTCAGTAAGTAGCCCTGGGTGGCCTAGAACTCCTTCCTCTGCCTCCTAAGTGCTGGGGTTAAAGGTATACGCCACTATGTCCAGCTAATGACTTCATTTTATCTTTTATGTCTTTACTATCTTTGCTTACCTTTCTATCTTTCATGTCTCATGCATTTATGTGGGTAATTTAAAATGTACACGGAAGAATTGAAAAGAGGAGAAAAAAAAAACCTGTAAAACAAATTTTACAGGAACAGTTAGGTATGTATATTTTTAATAATATGTTTCCCTACATTTTTTTCAGACATCCTTAAAGCTTAGGGAGCATTGTAGAAGAGAGGGCAGAAAGACTGTAAAAGTCAGAGGACCAGGATGCCTGTTGCTAGATAGTGTCTCTAGAAATGACAGGGAAGGTGTGTGCATGGAATCTCAACAATATAGTTATCTAAACAAGACCTGCATAATGACAACATGAGTTGCCAACGTGCACTCGGGATATTTCACAAGCTCCCACTTCTAGATGAAGAGCTAGAGGCAATTAATGGCTGATGAGGGAGAAAGAAAGTTTTCTTTAAGGATGAGCTCCCTCATAGGCTATCTAATCCCAAGTGGTCAGGCGTAAATGCATACACATATAAGCACCATTAAGCGGGCCCAACAGGTTATATACATGCATATGCAACAATTAACAATCAAAGAAATTCACAGGGAGCGGTAGGAGGGGAAATGTTGGAAGAGTTGGGGGGGAAAGAGGTGAAAATGATATAAATGCAGTATTAATGTACGAAATACTGAAAATAAATGAAATACTTTCTCCCTGTCCCTTAGAAGAGTGGCTTTCAATCCTTAGCTTTTTAAAAAAAATTAAGGCTAAAATTTCTAGTCCAGAAAGGAGTTTAGATAGTATCACATACAATTTGTTAATCTCATATAAAAGGAAGAATGTAACAAATACCAAAACTAATTTTCTTTCTAAGACAATGGTTCACTATTGTAGCCAGGCTACGCTGGACTGTGTAGTTCAGACTTCCCTCAAACTTTTCACCCTCCTGCCTTAGCCTCCTGGGTGCGGGATTCAAAGTGTGCTCCACTACGGCTGCCAGGTAACACTTCTGACTGTCATACCTACTTAGATATATCTGTGCTTGTGTCACCTGTCTGTGTCTAGTCCGTGCCTTGTAATTCCTACCTCCATCCATGCCCATGACTGACATGAAAATTCTGAGAAAACATACTAGAAAACAGTGTAAGTTTAAAGTCACATTGAATACAAGATCCTAGTAATACAAACTCTCTGAGCAGCTCTTCCAGGCGTTGCAGCTGTTGAGCTGTTGATTTGGTTTCCTCCTCCAGCTGCTTCACCAGCCTTTCGCTGTGCTCCTCCTTCTGCTGGACTGCATCCAGCTCATCCAAGGCAAGCTTTAACTCTCCTTTAAAGACATTCTTCTCTTTAACCATTTCCTCTTGAAAAGAACACAGCTGCTGCTGAAGATTGGAAGACAATTCCTATGTTCAAATAGACAACCCACAAAATAATTAGAAATGGCCCTGTGAGATTTCATTGAGACAATGAAATATAGTACAGATAAGAAGATGGAAACTAAATGAAAAAGCTTCAAGCTGGGTGTTGTGGTACAAGCCTTTAACCCCAGCACTCAGAAGGCAGAGGCAAGACGATCTCTGAGACTGAGGCACATATCAAATTTCAAGCCAGTTGAAGCTACAATGAGACCTAATTTTTTGGGAAGCTCAGTGGTTAAAAGCACTTGTTAATCTTGTACAGGACCGGGGTTCGGTTCTCAGCACCACTTTGTGACTCACGAACAACTGTAACTCCAGTTCCAGGGGATCTGGTGCCCTCTTCTGGCCTCCTTAGGCACCAGGCATGCAAACATTTAAGACACAAAATAAAAATGATTAAATCTTTTAGAGAAAAGTTTTAAGGAAACAAACATAAACATATTCACTTTACCCAGATTATATTTTATAACAACATCATGGCAAAACCTCCATACAAACTTTTATAAAACTAAAATTATATTTTTATGTTTTACAATTGGTATTTCTGTATACTTCAATATACTTTAGTCATGCTTTTTGTAATACAGAAAGTATATTATAATTTCAATTGTTATATAATTATTTCTAAGTTACATAATACATAAATTTCAAAGCTGTATAACAATACATCATCATCGAGAAAAACTTGTAGCATTTTCAGTGAAGTACATCTTATTTTTCAGTAGTCACCATCTCAATCTCAGGTATCCTCTCCAGAGATAATTTAATTTGGAACATGTATGCTTTTTGGTCATTGTCCATATATTCAAATACACATATACTTTTTTGTTATGATATATAAAAAAATCATAAAAATAGTTGAGCCCAGGGCTAGAGAAATGGCTTTGCAGTTAAGAACACTGACTGCTCTTGCAGAGGACCTGGGTTTGATTCCCAGCACCCACATGGTGGCTAACAACCATCCAAAACCCTGGTTCCAGGGGATCTGATGCCCCATTCTGACCTCTGAGCATGACATGGGTGCACCTACCCACGTGCAGGCAATAACACACTCATACACAAAGAAGAAAAATAATAAAAGAAAAAAATGAAAAAAATAGTTGAGCTCTTTCTAGATCAGTGTACTGCTGAATTCCTTCTGTTGTTTGCTGCCTAATGGATAACACTTCACATCAGTGCACAGGTACTTATTGATTTAGCTGTCCCCAAACTATTACAGGATCAAATGTTTTAATTTATGAAAATCCTGTTAATGAAAATTTCCATTTCACTGATTACTACTGAGAGCCCATCTTTCATGTTTACAAGCTATCTGAATATCTTGTGGATCTTACTTCCATCCTATGATCATGTTTCTTTTGTATTTTTTACTGGGCTTTTTTTCATTATTGATGTACACAATGATCAAGATAAACATCTTGTTTATATGCTATATTCTTTTTAAAAAACATTTTATATATTCTTTTTATGTGTATGAGTGCATTGTGTCCATGTATATAATTGCACCTGTGTTGTGCAATACTCACAGAAGTCAGAAGGGGGTGTTGGATTCCCTGAAACTGAAGTTACAGATGGTTGTTAGCCACCTTGGGTCCTCTGCAAGAGCAGTCAGTGCTCTAACTGCTGAGCCATCTCTCCAACCCTGACATTCTTTTATAAGACAATTATAAATACCTATACAGCCTACCTAAAACAAACATATACAAAGATCTGTGGCTAAATTTTCAGCATATAAATATTAATTACTCAGGATAAAATTGCTGGATCAAATTATAGATTCAAAGGTTTTCTGACACAGAGGGAAATTTATGATACAAAATAAGCAAAGGCTTTATTGAGAAAGTGTCTTCCTGTAGCCCCAGCTGGCCACCACATCCGGCTTTATAAGTACAGGGTTTTTTTTTCTTCTGGTGACTTATTTTTTTTTTTTGGTGTTTTTGGAACAGGGTCTCCCTGTAGCCCCAGATGTGGGCTGGCCTTGAACTCACAGAGATCCACCTGCCTCTGCCTCCCAAGTGCTGGATCAAAGGCATGTCCCACCATGCCCGGCAAGTACAGGGATTTTTTTTTCTTTTTTTTTGGTCTTTTTGAGACAGGGTCTCCCTGTAGCCCCAGCTGTCCTGGAACTCATTATGTAGACCAGGCTGGTCTTGAGCTCACAGAGATCCACCTGGCTCTGCCTCCCAAGTGCTGGGATTAAAGGCGTGTGCCACCACGCCTGGCCAAGTACAGGTTTTTAAAGATTGTAGTTAACTACCTTCTCTTGTTGAAGAAGTGATTCAATTTGCAATTCTTGTTGTTGTAGCTTTTCATATTCTTCTTTTTCAAGAACAAGCTTCTCTTTTAAATTTTGTATCTCAGAATGCATATTTTCAATCCTTTCTCTATTCTTGTTGACAAGCTCTTCTATAAAAGGAAAACATGAAAAACATCTGACTAGATGTTTATGTTAAGAAACTCAGTTCCTGTAGTATTTCCTTCTATTGCTTTTAGTATGTGCACAGATCAAGTGCGTTTCCAAAGAGGGGAAAAGTACTATCATCTGTGGGGCTAGAGAGATGGCTCAGCAGTTAAGAACACTGTTCCTGCAGAAGACCCAGGTTTCAATCCCAGCAGCCACATGGCAGCTCACGACTGTCCATAACTCCAGTTCCAGGGGATCCAACAGCCTCTTCCGTCCTCTGTGGGCATTGCATGACACGGGTGCACTTACCTACATGCAGACAACACATGCATACACATAAAATTAAAAAAAAAACAAAACTATCATCTGTGTAGTAGTTTGAATGAGACTGTCCCCGAGAGGTTCCAAGTATTTGCACACTTGGTTCCCAATTGGTGGCACTGTTTGCAGAGAGTCAGGGAACCTTTAGGAGGTGTGGCCATGCTGGAGGAAGCACATCACTAGGGGAAGGCTTTGAGAGTTCAAGACATGCCCACTTCCAGGCTGTCTGGCTTTGCTTCCTGTGCCTGCCTGAAGATGTGAGTACTCAGCTTTTTGCTCTGGTCACCTCCTGCCGCCATGCCCCCACCATGACAGACTCTTCCCTCTTGAACTGTAAGTCAGATTCTTCCTTCTATAAGTTGCCTTGGTCATGGTGTTTTATAACAGCAACAGAAAAGTAACTAATACACACAACGGGAAAAAACAATCCTCTGTATCATTACTATACTGTACATGCTAAGCAGTACTTTTTTATACATAGTACCTAACCCTTCATCTAAATGAAGTCACCAAAAATGCCACAGTACCTTTTTCTGTTTCAAGCTCCTGACATTTATGATTCAGGTCTTCTATTTGCTTAGAAAACATAACATTTTCTTCAAGAGATTGCTTGAGACTTAAAATTTCATGATTCTTCTCTTTCAAATCTCCTTCTAACTGCACAATATCAACTTTGTATTTTTCCACTTGATCTGATGCACAACTGCATTAAAAAATCATGTACAAGAGAATCATCTCTTTAGATACCAGAAAAAAATAACAGCAAAATGATTAAAATATGTTCAACAAAATAAGGTGATTTTTGTGTGTGAGCAAAAAACTTGGCATTGAATCTAGGACCTCCCATACATACACCAGACAAGTGCTCTACCAGCTGAGTTATAGTACCAAGCCATTAAGGTTCATTTTAAAGGCACCACTTATATTACCTAATTTCTTCGATGTATTCTAAGAGCTTTTCTGTCTCGGATCGTTCGTCAATCTTTTCTTTCTCTATGGAAACACTGAAAAAAAGGGAAGTAAATACATACTGCTTTCTTACTTAAAAACCACGCATAGTACTGGTTACTGAATAATAGTGCTAGACACTGTGGTATAAAGGTGACTCTAGAATGAAACTCTTACCCATTATTTTATGTGACTTCTCAGTTAACAAGTGAAATAAAAAGAGGAGGCTAGAGTTTATTTACGTGAGAAGCAAGACATAGATTAGAAATAACCTTATCACGCAGCCTTTCTGGCTCCCTCACCTACTCAGCCAACATTTATATGCCATGAAGCTTTTGTTCCAGGCTGGCCGGTAATCAATTACTTATGTAACTTAAGCTCTTCCACACAATCTAGCTGTGGATATACAGACAAAAGAAATAAAATCATGACACAGGAGACAGCAGCACTCCATGCTCACTTCAGCACGGCTCATGACAGCCAAGAAATGGAAGCAACCTAAGTGTCTATCAACTGATGAATGGATAAAGAAAATGCAGCAAAGATATACAACAGAATATTATTTAGGCATAAAAAAGAATTAGATCTTGTTATTTGTGATATCATGGATGAAACTGGAGTTCACTATGTTAAGTGAAATTGGGGATACACAAAAAGACAAATACCATATGATCTCACTCTGATGTGGAATTTAAAACACTGGCTTCATAAAAGCCAAGAGTAGAATGCTGGTTACTAAAGGTGGGAAGAATGGGGGAAGGCAGGGACGGGAGAGCCTGGTTTTTGTTTGCTTTCTGTTGCTGAGCTAAAACACTGACAAAAACAACTTGGGGAGGAAGTTGGAAGTCTGATGGAAGCAATTCCTCAGTTGAGGTTCCTTCTTTCCAAGTAACTAATTTGTATCAAGTTGACAAAGCTAACTAGGATAGTTGGTCAAGGGGTTCTAAGTTATAGTTAGGCAGGAAGAAGAAACTGGTATGCTATAGTAAGATAACTATAGATAACAATAAATGCTGTGTAGCTCAAAAAGCTAGGAGTTTGTTTTCACCATTTAGAAATGATGTTTGACAATGGCTGTATTTCACTCAACCTACCCATTACTCAATGTGTGTATCTATTCCACATTATGGTACCCTGTTACTAGTATGATTTTTACATATCTGTTAATAAAGGAAAAAGATTTGAGAAACAGGTCACACAATTCCTTTTGGTCACTTACAGTTTTCCCTCAAGCTGTACTATTCTGCCCTGGGACTCCTCCAGGTTCCTCTGAGTGGCCTGCAGCTTCATCGCCACACCTTCTTGTTTAGCCATCATAGTCTAGACAACAGACAGCGATCTTAGGAATGAGAGTGCGTGGCGGATGCAGGGGCAGGAATCATGCAAAGCCGCACTCACCCTCATCTTCGCTTCTCCCTTATTTCTCAGTCTCATCAACTCCAGGCTCAGCACTCTCAGGCTCTTCTGGCTGCCATCTTCAGAAAACTAAATAGATAACGTAAAAAAATTCACACACATTTTGGCTAAGCCATATATAAAATTACTTAAGGCCATTTGTGGTGGGATGTGCCTGCAATCTCAGCACTTGGGAGGTGGAGGCAGGATGATCAGCAGGAGTTCCAAGCCACCCTGGACTACACGAGATCTTGTCTCAAGAAACTTAAAGAAAAAACATTATTTAACTACTGATTACTGTGCCCATGATTGTAGCTATTCATTGTGTGCAATGTACTTTGGCAGAGAAAAGAGCTTTGAGCACAATTGCTGACTTCATGCCAGCACTATGTGTGTTCTTTCTTTTCCTTGATTTCCTAGTTCATTCTGAAACAGTCTGACTGATCACTTACCTTCTATGCTAGAAAGTTCACTGCAAGTTCTAAAACAAACCTCAGAGAGGATTTACTGAACTATGGTTGTTGAACAAAATTGCTTGGTATACCTGAAATATGCAGGATGAAGGGCGTATCCCAGGCTTACAAAATCAGAATCTCTCTGGGCAGAGCCAAAGACTCTATGCCTGTCTCCATGTGTGGACTTACAAGAAAAAGACTTATTGGCCGGTGTGGTGGTGCACACCTTTAATCCCAGCACTCGGGAGGCAGAAGCAGGCAGATCTCTGTGAGATGGAGGCCAGCCTGGTCTACAGAGTGAGTTTTAGCACAGCTGGGGTTACAGGGAGACCCTGTCTCAAAAACAAAAACCAATCAAACTTATTAAACTGAATAGTGATTTACTCTTCCCTCTGCTTCTGCAGTCAGTGTAATAAAACCACATTAAGTTCTTTAAGATCTATTATTTACTGACACGCACAAATGATTTCTTAAACATATTTACCCCATTGGTTATTTCCTACTGCATTCTCCCAAAACCTTTGATAAAAAGTTTTTTTTTTTAAATAAGAGAAAGATTCTTTTTGTTTTGGAGACAGGGTATGGCCATGTGGCTCAGGCTGGCCTCCTTGCCTTAGCTTTTGGGGATTAAGATTATGGAAGTGTGATACCACACCTCTCCACAGGAAGACTGACAAAATTCTGAGAATATGACAAAGGGTGAGAAAAAGTCGCACATCAAAACAAAAAGTAGCTTGTTCATTTATAACCTATTATGTATCAAGTATTTTAATAAACAAGATAAAAATGATCCTACTGAAGTGGGTTAATATGTAAGAAAATCAATTTAATAGAAGCAGTAGGACCAATAAATAGTTTGGTGATACCTAGTACATTCTATACAGAAACTTATTTGCCTTCTTGACATAAACTAATTCTTGGGATTTCAAGCCATAATTCGAATTTACGTAATTAGGGTCAGTGAAAGGAAAAATTTTCATACCTTTTAAGTAAACAAACAGCTCTACTACTTTTGTAAGTTGCACAAACGTAAACTGCCAAACAACTGTAATGTGAAGGTGTTATTTATTAATTACTCCATTTTAATATTATTATGAGGTTCAATACCTTGGATTTTAGAAGCTCATTAGTTCTGGTTAGTTCAATAAGCTTTTTTTCCAGAGAAGCATTATTTGCAGAGAGAGATGTTTTTTCTCTGACTGCAGCATTTAGCTTTGCCTCCATCTTCTCCAACTCAGACTCCATATCCTGGATACGCCTGTCCTGAGCACCACGCTCCTGCACAAGAACACGAATCTGGAAGAAAACCAGAAGATAACAAATGGTTAATACTAGCAGTAATGAAAGCATTAAACCTTCTACAAAGCCTATAGACTTGACATTATATTCATAGACATTTTATTAGCTATTTGAATAGTCACATTTATCTTATGATACATCTTAAAAATCTAAGAACAGAATAATTTTAATTGCCATAAATTTACAAGTGCACATAGCTATTTAGTCACTTAAAAGTTATATTCAGCTGGGTGTGGTGGTGCACACCTTTGATCCTAGCACTCAAGGAGGCAGAGGCAGGTGGATCTCTGTGAGACTGAAGCAAGCCTGGTCTACATAGGAAGCTCCAGACCAGCTGGGGCTACAGGGAGACCCTGTCCTTTAAAAAAAATGTAATAGGAATTCTTGTTTTCTCCGGTCCTAACTACATAAATTCAAACCATAGCTTAAGGTACTAAATATGTTTCTTATTTCAAGAAGGCAGAGGTAGGTGGGCTTCTCAGTGAATTTGGTTGGCAGCAGCAAGCCATCAATCTTTTGTTTCTACTAGTTATACAAACCAACAAACAACAGCAAAACAAAAAGCTAGCACTTGTCAACAGAAAATGTAGAAGCCTAAAACAAATAATGTATTTTAAATGTTTGGGGAGCGTTAAGGTGATGGCTCAATAAGTGGGCGAAGCACTTGCCACCCAAGCACAAGAACCTGATTTTGGATCCCAAGAACCCACGTAAATGCTAGGAGGGTGTGGTGGCCAGCTTGTGATCTCAGCACTCTGGGTGGACAGGGCATCTCTGGCAACCTAGCTGGACAGATTAGCTGAAATGCTGAGCTCTAGGTCCAGTCAGAGACTCTACCTCAATATTTAAGGTGGAAAGCAATGGAGGAAGACACTAAATGCCAACCATTGGCCCCCACATATGTGCACACAAACGTACACACACACACACACACACACACACACACACACACACATTTGGGTGCAACTTACCAACCTAACAACTGACACAAATGATCAGTTCTGACCCTGGCACTGCCACTCAGTCAGCAGTTATGGCAATGCCCCAGTCATTGCATAGGTACGTACCAACCACCTTATCCTCACCAGTATGAATGGTCAATAAAGACAGTCAGTAGTATTAAAATAAATAAAAGATCAGTGACTAAGCCAAAAATTATTTTTTTAAGGTTCTGATGTGGATGACATGCTAACCTCACGGCAGAACTGCTCAATCTGCAACAGAATCTTAGTTTCTCAACTCTGTGTAACTTTTCCCCCATTACATAGCACATTTATTTTCCAATAAATTGAAAATATGGCTTACCTCTTTTTCTAATCTCTTCAAATCTTTATCATTCTTCTGAGACTCCTTCTATTTAAAAGTAAAAGAACAACTATAAACTTACATGCCACAAATGTCACAGCTAAATTTAGTATTTACTTATCTGAAAAAAAAATCCAAAGTTCTAAGTAGCTAAATTCCATAATATTTAATTTTTGGTCTTTTGAGATGACATCTTACCGTGCAGTGCACACTGGCCTCAACTGCACAGTCCTCTCGCCTTAGCTTCTTAACTGCTGGGACTGAAGGCATGGACCACTACACTCAGGTTAACGCCAGTGTTTCCAACACTGTAGTTAGATTATGAAATACTTTATAGTGATTCAGCTGGTAAATAAAATGTTCTTAAAACCTGAAAATATTTCAAGTTTCAAAGTTTTCAGCCCAATAGAAAAATGCCTTTTCCTCAAAAGTACAATGAAAATACAGAGGTCTGTGGATAAACTATTGACTGTTTCCATTCTAATGTTAAATGGGAACATATTTTGAATATTTAATTAAGCTACCTCACACAGACTCCAAGGGAAATCACCTTAAAGTTTTCTATCCAAAGAGCAGAATGAACAATTTCAAAGAAATAACCTCTGATTCTAATTCTTTCATGGCATTTATTCTAATAAATAAGATAATATTCACATTATATCTTTTTGTGCATCTCAATCTTTCTGAGACAAAATCACGATCTTTGCCATATAAATATGGAACACAGTGCACAAACATCTTCAAAGAAATCTGTTTAGGTCTTTCTAAGGGAAAGACAGACCAACTTTATTAATTTCAAAATTAGTGGCATTTTCTGTTAGGAAAATCATTGGGGGGGGGGTCTATGCATACGTGTATATGCACTTCCTATGGAGTTTGTGAAATCTTTAATTAATTCAAAATTTTAGAATTGTATTGCCAACAAATTCAAGTCATCTGTTCACATTCATTTCTACAGACAGCATATATATTAATCTAACTTTGTCTAAAAAAAGTGTAAGAAAGCCAAACAGGTATTTAAATTTTCTAATAGTCCTAGTATAAATTAAATGAGTTGTTTTATATGCATCTCTATTTCATACATGTAGCACATATCAAATTGAATGTGTGATGTGACTGTGCCAACATTACAGTTTTACCTGAATAAATAGCCTGATTCTTAACTTTAGTATCTAGAGTCAGCCTGAATTCAGAGGGCACCCATTCCTCTAGATCTCTCCTGGAACTGGGCCGGTGAGCCAGGTCTCACCCGCACTTTTATTTAAAACTGTTTCTCCAGTTTCAATTGAGTTAACTAAAACTCAGATCCATACTCATCTTATCAGGTAGTCTTGCCCTTTCATCCCTAGGCCTAAAACACCTCATACACACAATGTCAAGCATTCTTCTCAATCTTCATTGAGAATATGAACACTCTGCCTTTCAGCACTTTGATTTATTAATTCTCAAGCATACCCACATTCACTCACAATCTTCAGTATAGGAAAAGTTGAGGTTCCTAGGGATCAGGGTCAAGCGCCAAGGTCACAAGAGCACAAGGCTTAGTGAGCTTGTTTGTAATAGCTTTTTGGGTGCCAGGTTAAGTAGAAATCATTAGTTCAGATTCTGTTCATTTTGTAAAAGTCATTCCTAAAAAAACACAAGTTTTATCAGAAGTATTTAAGTATATTTCATTAAAAATACAGAAAAAAGGTTACCTGTTTTAAAAAACATTTAGAAAGTTTACAATAGCAGGACTATTGTAAAATACGTATTAATTAAGATTAATGAACATTAAAAACTTGGAGCTGGGAGAATGGCTCTGTGGTCAATCTGTTGCCTAGCATGAGATTAACCCTGGGTTTGAGCCACAAGCCACACACACACACACACACACACACACACACACACACACTCACACTCACAAATAAATCTTTAAAAAAAAGCCATGGCAGCTGCAGAGGCACATACTTTAATCCTAGTACTCTGGAGGCAGAGGCAGATGGATCTCTGTGAGATCAAGGCTAGCCTGGTCTATAGGAGTTTGAGGCCAACTGGGACTACAGGGAGACCCTGTCTCAAGCCCCCTTCCCAAATAAACAAACAACAAAACTGTTCTAAGGGGCTGGAGAGATGGCTCAGTGTTTAAGAGCACTGGCTGTACTTCCAGAGGACTAGGGTTTGGGTCCCAGCACCAACATGGTGGCTCAGAACCACCCGCATGCATGTGCTCCATATACATACACACAGGTAAACATACACATAAAATAAATTGGGAAAAACAAAATAAAACAAAATACCCCACAAAAAATAAAAGTTTAGTTCTTAGCAGCACTAGACACATTTCAACTGCTCAATTGCCATACATGTCTAGTCAGTTCCACAATGGACGACACATCATAACTACAGAGTAAGAGACCTTGGTAACCGCCAAACGAATCAACAGTGTATCTATCACCTGATAATGCTTGTTAATTTACACAACTCCATAAGGAAGCAAAACTGCGTCTTAAGAACTAATTGAAAACAGTAGGCTTTTGCATAAGCAATATTATAATGACAATAATATATTCAGGTATTTTCAATTTTTCTGAGACCAGGGGTCGCATGGAACCCAGGCTGGCCTTGAATTTCTAGTTCCCCTAGCTGCTTTTCAGGTACTAGGGTTACAGGTGCATGTTACCACACCCAGTCTGTTATGAAGAATTTAATCTACCCCTTCAACAGTTTTTAAGTAGCAACCTTCTTTTAGTCATTGAAAATTTTATTTTTCCTTATCCTTCATCAACACTTATCTTTCCACACAAAAAAAAGTCAGACAAAGAAATAAACAAAAACTAAAACAACTCAGATGGTGGGAACAAATCAAAGCATGACATAATTTGTAAAGGTTTACAAGGTAATGTAAGATTTATCTATACACAGAAATGACTAAATGGGGATTATTCTATAATTTTGAGCTAAGATCACATTCAAACATAATAGATTTACTAATTAACAGGAAGAAGGTAAAGTCTGCTAGAGTTCTAAAGACAAGTATTTCATTAACTGCTAGACTTTTTAAAGATTTTTATTTTTATTTAATGTGTGTGTGTGCATGTGTGGATGCCACATAAGTGTAGGTGCCAGAAAAGGGTGTCAGACCTCCTGGAACTGGAGTTACAGGTGATTGTGAACCTCTGATGTGGGCGCTGGAAATCAAACTTGGTTCATCTGAAGAGTTGCAGGCACTCTAAACCAGAGTCAGCTCTCCAGCCCAGACTTACTTTAAGTTTGATTTATACATTTAACCCATTCAAATCAAATACAATGCCTTGTAGGCATGTTCTCATTGATAAAATAGGTACACAGTTGTCATGTAAAAGTTTCTCACCTTTGATCCCAAAGTCTTAGCCTTTTTCGCTGAAGTAGGCAAGGTAGTCTCTTTATCAACATTAAGATTTTGTTGAGATTCTGCAAAAAATGAATTAAAATGACCATGGCTGGTGTTTATACATTTTAACCACATACAACCAAAGTTCCCAATTTCTCATGGCAAATAGTAATAAAACAACATAAAGTTTTTTTTTTTTTTTTTTTTGGTCTTTTTGAGACAGGGTCTCCCTGTGGCCCCAGCTGGCGTGGAACTCTCTATGTAGACCAGGCTGGCCTCAAACTCACAGAGATCCACCTGCCTGTGCCTCCTGAGTTCTGGGATTAAAGGTGTGCGCCACCATGCCCAGCCATAGAGTTATCCTTTTGATTACATTTGCAAATAAATACTTGTGCAATATTTTTATATACCCAAAATCTTCCTTATAATTATACATTAAAAAAAAATTTTTTTTTTTTTTTTTTTGTTTTTTTTGAGACAGGGTCTCCCAGTGGCCCCAGCTGTCCTGGAACTCACTATGTAGACCACGCTGCCCTTGAACTCACAGAGATCTGCCTGCCTCTGCCTCCCAAGTGTTGGGAGTACAGGCGTGCACAAACACGCCCAGCTTAAAAATCTATTTTTATCCTTAATTACATGCATATGTGTGTGTGTATATATATGTATGTGCACACGAATGCAGATGCCTACAGAAGCCAAAGCATCATATGCCCCTAGAGCTGGAGTTAGAGGTGACTGAGCGCTGTCTGGTTTACTAGGAATCTAACTTGGGTCCTCTGCAAGAGCACTATGCACACTTAATGGTAGGGCCATCTCTCCAGCTGCCTCCCCGCGCCCCCCATTCCTGATATTCTTAATATTCAGACAGAAAGGTTAAGGTAGTTATCAAAAAGGAAACTACGTATCTGTGAATAGTCACTTAATTTTACTGGCTACATACAGTATAATTACCAAAGTAGTATTTTGTACTTGATTTTTTCAAACATACATTAAATCAGAATGTTTAAATATATATCTAGCTATATAGATTTAGAAGTACAGTAGCATTTTAAAATTTAAATAGTATCACTTAAAATGTTAAAAGCTGGGGCTGGAGAGATGGCTCAGCAGTTAAAAGCACTGACTGCTCTTGCAGAGAACCCGGGTTCGATTCCCAGCACCCACATGGCAGCTATAAACCGTCCTTAACTCCAGTTCCAGGGGAATCCGAAGCCCTCTTCTGACCTCTGTGGCA